AGAAGAAGAAACTAAACTAGTAACAGAAGCAGAGCTGATTAAAGAAGCAACAGTAGAACACTACAAAAAACAGTTTAAGAAAAGAAATACAAAATTAGAAGAGATGTCAGAAAGTTGGAAAAAAATCTATAAACCACAAGACCATATCAAAGAAGAATGGTATAAAGAAATCGAAAAGGAAATCAAAGAAGAGGAATGGGATGGAATAATTAAAGAACTCAAGACAGGAACAGCTCCAGGAATATCAGGAATAAGTTATACCCTAATCAAACGAGCAGAAAGAAAAACTCAAGAGGTTTTTAGAGCCTATGCAAACCTGTGCTTAGAAATAGGAGAGATACCAATAAAATGGAAAATAGCACAAGTATATCCAATACCAAAAGACATAGAGTAGGGATATAGTTTAAATAATATCTGTCCAATAGCTTTAATTGAAACATTCAGAAAGGTTGTAACAAAGACAATAACAAAAAGACTTAGCAAGATATTTACGAAAAGAGAAATACTTAAAGAACCAAACTATGCAAGTTTACCAGGAAACTCAACAGAACAACCTGTACATATCTTAAACATGATAATGGAAGAAGCAAAGAAAAAGAATAAAGAGGTGTGGATACTCCTACAAGATATGAAAAAGGCATTTGACTCAGTTTCACTTAAAAGCCTTGAACTAGCCTTGCAAAGAGTCAAAATACCCAAAAGAATGATTAAATATATATTAAACCTCTTTTACAAAAGACAGCTTAAAATAATTACGGCACATGGTCTGACAGAATAAATAACAGCAGGAGATGAAATAGACCAAGGTGAAGTAATATCACCACTAATATAGCACCTTTTATATGACCCACTATTAGAAAAGATACAAGAAGATAAAAGCTTAGGCTATACAGTAGAACAAAAGTTTAAAGAGGGAATACACTGTAACAACATTACAAGCCATCACCAAGCAGCAATTGCATATGCAGATGACACAACATGGATTGCAAAAAGCAAGAAACAGCTTGTAGAGATCTTAAAAGTAGCAGAAGACTTCTTTAAAATGAACAATATCAAGATAAATGGATCAAAATCAAAACTGATAATAATGAATAGAAAAGCAAAGAAAGAAGAAAAAGAAATAAATTTTAGAGAAAGCAAGATAATAGAAGAGCCAAGAAACAAAATAGTACATTCATTAGAAATTTGGCTAAACAACAGAATGCGAGAAGTTCTAATAAAGAAGAAGGCAAAAGGTATAATAAACTAGACAATAAGAGATCTTAAATATAAAAAAATAACGATGAACCAAATAGCATATATAAACAATACGATAATAATACCAAAGCTAAGCTACATGCTACAACTAACAAAGATATCAAAGAAAAGGATAAATGAAATATACCAACCAATGATATGCTTGGCAAAACAAAAAAGTGGCTTACCAAGAACATTAGAAAACTGCATAATAGAACACAAAGATCTTGGTAGCTATAGAACCTTGCGACAAGAACTAACAATGAAACAAATAGGAGGTCTAATAGCAAGACTAAACAGAAAAGACGAACTAGGGCAACTAACAAAACTGAGAATAACGCAAGGTTGTCAAAGAGCAAGTTTAACAAAAGACATATGGAAAGTAGAAAAACTGCCAGAAGATAAGTCTTGTTGAAAGAACAATCTAGTCTGCTTAACTATAGTCAAAGCAAGAGAGTTAGAAATAAATATAAACACAGAAACTGAACTATGGACAACAAATAGTTACAGTCTTAGAGTAATTGAACTAGTAGAACCATAGCTATGAAAAAGAAGTGGACCCAAAATAAGTGAAGCAGAACTCATATACCTAAATCAACTACTCGATACAAAAGGAGAAAGACTAATAACATGGCAGCAATTCAAGACATATCAGAATCAGTCAAGCAAGGGCAAAAAGGCAGAGTGGTTCAAAATGATAGAAACAAAAGTGCTCAACAGAACTGAAAGCAAAGAAGTTAAAGAACAATTTAAAACAGACAGATGCAATACACAAGCAATGAAGATCAAGTGGGGAATCTTGTCGAAGGATAGAAGAAAAAAAGAATAGATAATACATAATGCAACAAAGAATAGGCAAATGGGGAAGATAGTTAAAAAGAAGAAAAAGAAGCTACTAATAGAACACTGGCAAATGCATAATATAGAAAACAATCTAATAACAAAAATTGATAAATGCAAGAGGTGTTCAAGAGATGAAAAGACAGAAGAAAATAGCTGCCGATATTGGATAAGAATCAATAATAATATACATACAGTCCCAGATGTGCTAATAGGGAAGAACAACAATATAATCAAGGCAGCTACCGACCAACTAATAGAATATCCAAGAACAGAAGAACTGAGAAAAAATGAACAAAAACTAATAGGACTAAAGATATTAGAAGGCCTAGAAATAGAATTAATTAGGAAACAAAAATTAAGGGAAAATGTTAGTCAAGAGCTAATAGAAGTCTTAAGAAGAAACATATTAAGAGACAAAAACAAATATATGATATATACAGACAGTGCAGCAAATAAAAGAAACGAAGAAGAAGCAACAGACAAAAACATAGGTATAGGTTGGATACAAATAGCGGAAACACAAAATTGGTCAGAAGAAGAGGTAGCACTAGGTGTAAAAGGATAGCCTACATCTACTACAGCTGAGGTGCTAGCAATATGGGCAGCAACCTTAACAATGCCAAAAGAAAAAGAATTAGTTATATTTACAGATAGCAATGCAGCAATTAGGAACATTAGTAAAAGATTAGCAGGTATAGATAGAAATAATGTTCTTAAAAAGAAAAATGCACTATGAATATTGAAGATAATAGATATAATAAAGGCAAAGAACATACAGATAGAGTGGGTCAAAGTTAAAAGTCATAGTAAAAATAGATGGAATGATAAAGCTAATAGCCTTGCGAAGAAGGGAACACTAAGCAGGAAAATAATTTTTCCAGAAGAAGTTAGCCATGAAGAGATAGAGTACTGCCTAGAGTAGGAAAACAAGCGAATAGACATACCAGCAAGACTTCTATGTAAAATAGTAACAAATGCCAGACTAGAAGTAGAGTAAAAAGAAACAATAGCGATCAAGAATATTGAGTCAGAAGAAGTAATGATATATGATTGGATGTACTTTTGGAGAAGGCTAGATTCATCTAAAGGAGTATGCTGCCTAACAAGAAGAAGCAGTACAAGAAGAAGTGCTTTCATGAAATGCATATTGAACAAACTTTCAATATTGGAAGAACTTAACAAAAGAAGGCCAGATATATACACAACAGCAGAATGCCAAGTTTGCCAAAACAAAGTTAAAGAAACACAGGAACATTTGGCATCATGTAAGGGACAAGCAAATCTATGGAAAAGAATACAGAAAGTATCTATTGTGACAGCATGGAACAGCTTAAAAGAAGAAGAAAAGAAACGAGTCTCACCTCTAGTATTATATATGGCACTTTTTGGACAAACAGAGTGAGAGGAAATAGAATTAAAGAAAGCACTGATCAAAGGCCTAATCCCAAGAACAACACAAGACAGGTTATCTCAAATCTTAAATACAAAAACAAGACAATACTTCGCAAACATAGTAGCAGAAACAACATGGAATACATTCTATGAACAAGTTTGGAGAATCCGCTGCGAAAAGGTCAACTTATGGGAAAAAGAAAAAGAAATAACAAGTAAAGAAAAAAAAAGAAGACTAAAGGGGAAAGGAAAATTAAGTATAAAGAAAAAAGAAAAGGCTAATCAGCAAGCAATAGAAGAAAAGAAAAAGAAAACAGAAGAAAAAGGAAAACGAATGGAAAACAAAGTTAGAAAGACAGTTAACAAGCTTGTTATGAAAGGAGGAAGACCCTTTCATTATGAACTTTAAGTAGTTAGACAAGCAGCTTACTTCTGCAAGAAGTAATGTAGCAGGTTGCACTTAGGCGCCATTAGGGTAGCTGAGTAATGCTAGGCTTAGTTGTTAGGTAAATTTATATAATTACAGTAGTAGTTTCAAAAATCTTAATAAAGCACTAGCATGACTGCTTAGAGGAGGAAAAAAAAAAATAATAATAATAATAATAATTTGTCTACAAGATGTGGATTCAATCAATTTTATTTTTAAGTAACATAGTTGCTAGCATCCAAAAACAACTGTTCAGAGGGAACAGAAGTGGCAGGAATTGCAAGATACTTTCTTGTAAGAATGGAAAGAATAGGAAATTAATTTTTTTGCTTACTCCACCAATCTAGTAGATTATTTTTTTCTGTTTGATCTGCCTCAGGAATTGAAAGGTACTTATCAATTTCATTTTAATTAATAGATTCATTGTCATCATTTTGAATTGATGAAAAAAAACTTTTCATAGCAGATTTTTTTTTGTTGTTTGTTCTGTTAAACTTGAATTAGTAGTTGTTGTTTGATTAACTTGTCTATTTACTTGCCTACTAAGCTCATTATATTGACCTTTTAATTCTTCAATAGTTTTTCTTTGTATAAATATAAACTAGTTATATACATCAAATTAATTTTGGTTATACTTACATTAGAACAAAAAAATAATCTTTTAAACCTGAGATCATGCAAGAATGCATATAATTCATATTTAGATGATGATGATCAACAACTTATTAAATTATTAAGAATGGTATTTTTTACTTTATTTATAATATCAAATTCATTATTCATATTATTCAAATAATTAATTAATTCTTCTATTGTTGATACCATAATACTCAAAGTAGCATAATTAAAACCAGAAAGAAACTTTGTAGCTTTGTAAAATGGATGCAAAAGGTCAACAAAATCATATATAATTTGAAACTCATTATTAGAAAGTAACTTTTCTTGAATATTACTATCATCATGCTGATGCTTAATATTTGTAGAATTTTCAAGATCATTAACTAACTACCTAATTGACCTTTCAAGCTTTGTAAGTCTTTTTAATGCTATATATATAGAATTCTACTGAGTATCCATATCTTGAATTACATTAATAGTTTCTAATTTTTTTTGCCAATACTAATTTGTGCCTCTCGTAATTGTTTACATTTTTTTTCTTCACCCAAAAGTCTAATAAATGCTTTATATTTTATAATTAAATCATGTACTTTATCTAAGATCACATTAACACTTAATTGTAATGTATATACTGCATAAAAAATATTAACAACAGGCTTGAGTGGTGAAATTTTAGTTGAAAGTTGTATGATAGCTGTTTTAACATTTGAACTGTTATCTGTCATGATACTTACTAGTTTACTTCCACTAATGCCAAATTCTTCCAATACAGGTTCAATTGTACTAACAATGTTACTAGCAGTTTTATACTCACCTATCTTAATCATACTTAATATAGAATCATACATCTTAAATTCATCAGAGATCTAGGAACATGTTAATCCTAAGTAAGAATTATGTGCCTGAGATGTCCACAAGTTAAAGGTAAGTAATACCATATCTGCTTGGGTGCTAATTATGTAGTTGATAGTTTTTGTTGAATGAATTGTTGCATCTGAAATTTTATGCTTAAGTGTATTTATACAAGGTGCTTTATATCAGAATCAAAAGAATTTAAAAAGGTACAAAAATTCTTATTTTCTATTAAATACAAAGGAAGAGTACAAGAAAGCAACAATTTAACTATATTATGAGTAAGTTTTTGTTGTATTTGTTTGGAATATAGTTTTGTTAAAATTGTTTCAAGTGTTTGTTGCAATGGTTTTTTAAGTTCTTCGATTGTTTTATTTTCTAGACATTTTTGTTATATGATGTATGTCACGAAGATGATTAATCATGTTAGAAGTTGAGCTATGCCATGTGTACTCTACTTTACAACCTTCGATTGAACATTGAACTTTTGTTACTCTTTCATCATCTTCTTCATATTCAAAAAAGTCAAAAAATAACCAAGCAAAACTATTCTTAGAATTTTTCTTATATCGATTTTTTTTTTGTTTTTTTTTTGAAGTCAGTTGAGAATATGAATCAGTAATATCTTTCTGATCAATGCGTTTTAATTTATTTCTAGGAATTGAGTTGTTTGAACCAAAACTTGTTGTATCTATTCTTTTAGATAAACTACTAGCACTAGAGGTTGAAGCCATTATTGTAATAAGACTATTAAATACTAACGCAAAAAAAGAAAAAGCAAAAACAAATGGACAAAATAATTGTTTGTAATGATTTTTGTTATAACTTTAGAAGAAGGAAAAATTGAAAATCTGATAACTTTTTATAATTTTAGATATTATATAATTGCAAGTTAACACCAATCTGCATGTTATTTAAATATGTTCACATAGTTATTTGAAATAAAGAATCAATTTCCAAGCTTGTAATTACTTTATTATAAACATACTGATATAATATGGAATGTGCATTATTTTATGGCTTTTATGGGCATTACTTCAAATAATGCATACATTTTTGAAGAATTGATTTTTTTTGAAATCATGTCTACTTTTTTTCTTTCGATTATACTATATAATATAACTATAAGAATTTTGCTACTTTCTATCTTTTAGAGCTTTGAGGCAATATGACAAGTATAGATATATTGCATGAGTTCAAAAATTTTTTAACAATATTAACTATTATTGATTTTTTAAATTTAGATATGCACACATAGCAATGAATATGTGGATTGTGTATAAATCTTAACAATGCTTGACTTGATTAATTATTGTCTGAATTATATGAACATATAGAGAGGAATATCTTTACTCTTAAGAATTAATCTGTTTCTATGAATTCAAGATAGTTTTTAGATTTTTGGTTGTCATATTGTTGTGAAATAATAGGCATGTGTGTTATTTAAACAATTGTATTCTATGAAAATAACATAAATGATTTCAAAATAATGCCTATATGTGTCTCAAATAATACACACCCACTATAAACAATTTGAAAGTTTAGGTTCAGAAAAATTATTTTTTGTTTCAAAATAACACTCATGTGCGTATTCTAAATAATGCATATATATTCAAAATAATGTGCAAGTGGGCATTATTTCATGACAATATGGTATGTAACTTTAGTTAATTCTTGTATTTATTTTTATTCTTAACTAAATATAGACCTTATTTAGATTGGCACTTAAGGGTCAATGATCATGTTTATGAATTATAATAAAATTACCAATATGCATCTTTTTTTATATGCATTTAATCTAGAGCTTGATTGTATACTAGTAACATTACAAAAATCGATCTTGACTTTTGTGAAAAGTCTATTCAAATTAGGACCCAGGTACAAACGTAAAAATAATGCACATGCTAGTATCTGCAGAATCCTAATAGTTATAGTAATAGTTATAGTATTTTATGGTTAGAGTGTGCAAGATCTTATGATAATGCATAGTCAGATATAAAATTATATTATTAAGTTTTAGTAGAGTAAAAACTTTACAATAATATATCTTTTTTTTTTATTTTTCTGTTTATATAACAATTATAGTTATAACTAGGAATAGGAAAATTAAATCTGCTGCATAGGCCTGCATTATGGCTAATCAGGACCAAAATTAGAAACACAAAATTTATATAATTTAGTGATGACTTGTGTTTGTTGAAAGCTATTAGTTACACAAAAATTAATATATAATAATTAGTAATTATATAATTTGATATAGCTTGTCAAGAATTACACTAAAACAAAATCACATAATTTCTGTATATCTGGCTAAAATTCTGATACATCCTGAAAATTTCTGAGCTTCTGAAACTTTCTGTCTGTGCAGTGTCCTATCCCTAGTTATAACAATCATTTTTCTTTTAATTGGTTAATATAATATGCTATTGCTATAAAGAGCTAAGTTTAGAAGACTATTTATTGTTTTGTATTTAAGTTTTATAAATTAATCCATTTTAATTTATTGTATAAATTATCTGAATTTTTGAACAGTGTGATAACTAATTCACAGGGTTTCAATTTATTACATAAATCTGGTTGTTCCAATAATTGGATAAGCTTAAAGATTTTAACTATAATCGAAGAAAAAATGTCATGATTCATACTTTTCAATTTCTATGTTAAATACAAAATTATATCTAAGAGAACAAGAAAATCTATTTCGAAAATTTTAAGTATTTTTACAAATTAAAATGCGAATAATCTAATATAATAGCATTTGTCAACTAGTTTGAAATACAAGCAATTTTGCTTCTATATTTTTTGAATAGGTAAGATATTTTATTTAATTATATATCTAGACATACACAAATATATATAACCTAAATTATAATAATTTTGAAAAATATTACTAGTGGTCTGTAGATTTGTAATAGTCACATCCTGGATATAAGTAAAAATAAAATTTCTATTTCTAATAACTGATAATGGCCAGAGTATAAGTGTTACAATAAGAACCAATGAAAGGAACTATCACCCAATATGCAACATATAAAAAAATTATTTTACAATACCAGATATTCTGCTAGTACATGTTATAATTATAATCTCACACTATTTTCATTATACTATACAGTGCTGCATATAGTACCCTAGGTATTTTTCAAGAAAGCTGGTCTAGATTGAATAATATCCTTTTGTTATTGGGAGCTAGGAGAATAATACAAATAACTGTTACTGATTAATATATTTCTTTCTATTAGACATATCAAACTTAATGAAAAGATCGTACTATAATTATGAAAATTAGATCACAAATCGCTTGTCAAGAAAAGGGTAATACTACTCCAGAAAGTACTATATGCAGTGCTGTACGTGTAGGATTATAATAATAACATGTACTAGTAGAATGATCTGATAAAATAATTTTTTTATATGTTGCACACTGGGTAAAGGATTAGTTATATAACATTAATGATTTCTCCTATTATAAGAACCACCAGTTTAATTCACATGTTGTTAGTTAAAATATCCAATAAGTCATCTTTTTTTTTAATTATGATTTCATAAATCAGAGTATTAACCATTTATTTATTAAAATGGATTATATTTTTCAATTTTTATCTGATAAGCTTTATAATTTCTATTAAGTTGTGACAAAAGCTCTTTTAGCACCATCAATTGGGTTATCTTTGTAGTCAAGAATATATTATATTGCTAAACTGATGCATTTAAATCACACTTCTAGATAGAATTAATGTAATACTTTATTTATTTTAATCTTTTTTTTTATTTTTTTCATTGGGTTATTTTGAAGAAATAGTTTGCTGTTCCTTGTATTACAATAATAGGAGAATTTAGCTTAGATTAATTATCTATTTAAGTCCCTAAATAATGCTTCATTTTTATCTTTTATAGATATGTTTGTATATAGAATCTAACTACTTGTTTGTTAAAAATATACTTTATTTTAATCGATAGTTTTTTGTTCTAGTCAAATGTTTGGTAAGTTCTTTCAAGTTTTTTTTTTGATTTGCATAAAATCATTTTGTACTGATAAAATTTTTTACATATTATTCGGAAATAAATGATCTATAAAAATTTGAATTGCTGTATAAAATCAAATTTTATCAATTGCACAATTTAGAATTGATGATAAGAAAATATTGCTATGATCATAAAGGTTAATGATATGAAATTTTTGAAAAATATTATTGAGTTAATAACTTTCAAAATTATAATATAATTGACATATAATTATTGCATCAACATTATTAAAGTTTTGCCGATATTTACTTACTATTAAGTTTGGTTATGTAATTTACACTGTAACTTGAGTTCATGAAAGCTATTTTTTGAAAAGACATTTTAGCCAATCTAGCTGATATAATCTTTCTGAAAAATCAGCTTTCAGGTAATAATATTGTAACTATATAAATTAAAGTTTTATTTACAGCTGTTCATAAGTTCCGAAATAGCCAAAAAATTCAAGTAACCAAATTATCAAGTTACAGAGTTGGAATTAATAAGATACTAATATTCATCGAAATAGAAACTTAATGATTCAGTTATGCCATGAGTTATAAATTACCTGCATATATAAGCCAATTAACTATATATTTGATTAATCAATTAATTAACTAATCGATTAATCAACTAATTGATTCATCAACTAATCAATTAATCGATTAATTGACTAATTAACTAATCGACTAAGTTGGATTTGAAAATTCTAATCGATTAGTTGGCAACTTTACAACTAATCGATTAATTTGATTATCAATTTGTATCACTAGTTAAAACTTTGTTTTAAAATTACAAATCAAAAATCTAATTGATTAGTTCAAACTATAATTTAGGTTTTTTTTTAATTTTAGCAATATAGATTCAAAATTACTAGACTGATTCTTTTTCTTTAAATTCTAGTAAGTAGGTTCAAACTTACTAGTAATAAAGAGCTCTAGAATTTATGATTGTAAACATATGATTGAGTAGATTTTGTTCTATAAACCAATATTTAAAAAAAATTTAAAAAAGATGCATTTGGTTCTATGGAATAAGTTATATAAGAGCCTATAAACTATCTGGCACAGTTGCACTTAAGATTTGGTTATAAGGATAATCCTCAAGATTTTTTAAAAATAATTATTTATTGTGTTTCTTAAATGCATATTGAATTGATTATATACATTTATATATTATATAAAATATATACTTATAAGTAGCATGCTTAAAACATATGAATTAGCTCAAAATGCAAAAACAAATAAATACTTAATGGTATTTCAGTATGCTGATAATAGAGGTGCTCACAAGTTTTTAAAAAAAATTTCTGTAATTTTACTTTGCAAACTAAATTAAACCTACTTTTTGATATTTCTAATAATTTAATAGAGCAGAATATATTCATAAAGACTTTCAAAGTGGCATTATTTTGCAAAATAAAGGCATTAGTGAAAATATGCTAAAAATATAATAGAAACAATTCAGAAAGTGGTACTTATAGTATTATGCCTAATGTTACTCTTGAGGTTTTATCAGATCAAAGGTTTATACAAGCTGCTAATACTTACAGCTTCAGAGTTATCATATCATTTTGAGATGTCAATGAACAAAAACCTTTTAATGGTTATGAATTTAATCTTGGTCTTACAATAAAATTTATAAAGAATTATAACCTAAATTTGCTTCTGAAACTCTGGATTGCTATATCACATTTGTTAAAACAATGCAAAATGCTAATCTATGAAAGTGACTGATGTTTATTTGAAACTTAGAATAAAATCATAAAAAGTTCAGGTAGAGTTCTAATCTAAATAAATCCATCACTTATTTATTTATATCTGATTTATTCAGATATTTGTTTACTATTGATATCTGAATAATCTGACAGATAGTAATAGATATTCTAATAAATTCAGATCTGAATATCTGATAATTAAAGATGTTAAGTAGTGCATCTGGTTTAGTTCTAGTCTGTTCCCCAAAAAGTCTGGTTCAGGACAAGTTGAAAATAAGTTCATCCTTCTGTTAAAAAATAGATAAAAACTAGTCCTATTCTAGTAGTTTAAATGTACAAAACAATAGTGAATAAGTATTGTATTTTAATTATAATTTTATGAATTTATTCTAGTATTATAATTGCATTTAGATCAATATAAATTAGCCAATTAAATAACCTTGAGATCACAAGATTATAGGACTAGTTTTGAACTAGTTCTACTAGTTCCTAAAAAGTCCAAGTTTGGACCTGGCCCAAACTAGTTTCCTGTAGACCATTTAACATCTCTACTAATAGATAAATGCTAACCAGATTAGAACTCTAAGTTCAGATTAGAGGTGCAAGTGAATTGGTGTAACTTTTGCTATAACTTGTCATAATATAATAAAGTTATAGCAACAATGCCATAACTCATTATAATTATTTTATATTACAGAAATAGTTATGACAAGTTACAGCAAAGTTATAGCATTATTGGGACAATTCACCTGCATCACTAGTTTAGATGATACAAATAACTTAGAAACAGATAAAATAGCCAAAAAATTATCAGTCATAGCTATAATAAGAATTGGGTATTTCATTATTTAACAACATGAATGCTATATATCAGTATGTATAGGTCCTATTTTTGCAGTACCTAATTACTAAAAATTAAGATTCTTGCATTGTTATCATAGCTACAGAGTCTAATAATCAAATATAAGGTCTTTTTACTACATACAGAAATGAAGTTTACTAAACAAGTGCTGGTACATCTTGTTCAATTAGTAATAGGATATAGGATTGCATAATATACATTATTTTGCATTATGTAATGCAAAGCTAAAAAAAATTATATTCATAAATCTCTATTTATAATCATTTATAAATTTCATATTGTAAACATCAGAATAGTGCATTAAAAATATGTTGTATAAAAAAGCATAAAATAACTCTCAAAATAATGTCCTATAAAATAGCATAGTTGGTTGTTTTATACACATTTTGAAATAATGTCTATAAAATAGTATTGTTAGTTGCCTAATAATGTTTTGAAATAATGCTTCATGTGTAATATCATACACATTCTGAAATAATGCCCTATACATGTTTTAAAATAATAAAATAATATATATATGCATTCTAAATGACTTTATTTGTGTATTCTAAAATAATATTTTATGTTATTTTGAAATAATAATCTTAATAATACATATTTTATATGCATAATAATTTTTTATTTGCAACTATTATATTAAAATTGTATTGTTAAAATCTGTATACATAATAACTATAATTTTATATAATTGTAAAATAAAAAAATATAATATATAGAAGTTATTTAATCAAAATAATAATTATAAAATAAATTTATTTAAATTAAAAATTTTAAATTTTATTTTATAAAAATGTCTACCTTTTCTTTAAATAAAAGTATTTTTGAAGATACTCATACAGATAATATTCAATTACAAACTAATCTTTCAAGTTTACAATTTTAATTTTTAAATCCAAAAAATAATAATTTATTATTATCTAAAACATTTGAAATTAATAAAAATTTAGAAACTGATTTTTTAGAAAATGAGATATGAACTGAAGAAGAATTTTTAAATTTTAAAATTTTATATTAAAAAATAATAGATAATTTTGAAAACAAGAAAATGATAATCAAAAATTAAAAGATGAAATAAATTTAATATAAAATAATAATTTTAAAGAATTATTTGAAAAAAAATACTGTGAAAAAATTGTTTATAAACTAAATATAAATATTCAGTAGCTTTATCTAAACATTTAAATTTTAGAAATCTTTCTAAATCTTTTCAAAATATATTTTTATTAGATATTATTGCAGCTATTAAATGACTTAAAATAGTTAAAAATAATTCAAAAAAATCTAAGCTTACTACAGAATATAATTTTAAAGAAAAAACTATTTGTTTAAATGCTTTTAAAACAATTTATAAAATTGGTGATACAAGACAGAAAAATTTACAAAAACATTTTATTGAACATAACATTAATTTATATATTGATTCAAAAACTGAAAAAGTTAAAAATAGAGCAATATCTTTTAAAAATGTTATAAAAATTATTACTTTTATAAATAATTATGCTAAACAAAATGGTCTACCATCTCCAGGTAATTGATTAAATTTAATAAAATTGGATTTATTTTATTAATTAATAATTATATAAATTTTTATAGAATGAAGCTTTTATAATAATACTACTATAATTATATATTTACTAGCTAATATTACTTATTCTTCTTTACATATTCAATATTTAGAAGCAATTAAAACTAATAATCAATTTGAAGTTGGAATAACAACATTTTGTTTAATTTAAAAAAAATTTTTACCACATATTAAAAAATTAACACTATATAGTAATTTATGTTTAAAATATAAAGATATGAGATTTAATACTAATTATTGAACAGTTGAAGAAAAAAAAACAAAAGTTTTAAAATGGAATAAATATATAAAATAGGCATATAATGAATGAGAAAATTATAAGTAAATAATTTTATAATTTATTTTAATTAAAAAAATATTAATTATTATATTTAATTTATTATTAGACAAAATATTAAATTAGTATATAAAGAATTTCAAAATTTTGGAATTAATAATATTATATGTTCTAGAAAACTAAATTTATTAGATATTACAATTCATTTTTCTTGAGACTATATACAACAAATTCAATTACCTTATTCATCTCAACAAAAGGTAAATTAAATTTTAATTATAAAATTAATAATAATATAATATTAATTAATTTATATTAATTTATTTATTATTAGGATAAAATTTATTTTAAATTTTTATATAAAGTTCATTTATTTGGAATATGTGATGATGCATTTTCATGTCAAGTAAATATTAATATTTTTTATTAAATTTATTTATATATTAATATAATTTTTAATTTTTAATTTTAACAGATAAATTATCTTATTAAAGAAAATAAATTAGTTAATAAAGATGCAGATACAGTTATTTTTTTAGTTCATAATTATTTTGAACTACATGGTATAGGAGAAAAAAAATTAATAATTCATGCTGATAATTGTTTAGAACAAAACAAAAATAATGCAATAATAGCATATTTGGCTTGGAGAGTTTTAACAAGATTATATGATAATATAACTTATTGTTTTATGATTGCAGGTTATACTAAATTTAGTTCAGATGAATTTTTTGAACTTATTAAATTACTTTTAAGAAAATCTGAAATAGATAATCTTGATGATTTAGTTAAAATTGTTCAAAATTCTAGTTCTGGTAAATTTAATATTGCACAAACAGTTTTTGATAATAATGGAAATCAAGTTATACATTTTTATGAATGGACAAATTGGTTAAAACAAGAATTTATAACAATTTCAGGTATATTGAAACAATACTATTTTGAATTTCAAAACATATTTTAAGGAAAAGTTAAAATTAGTACTTCATCTAACAAAGAAAAAAACAATGATAGAAATTAAAAAAATTAATCAAAAAAATCAACTAAATTAATTAGTTGAAAAAAAATTATCTAGTTTTAGTGCAGAAAGACAATGGTATTTATATGATCAAATAAGAAATTATATACAAAATTCTAACAAAAAAATAACCTTTGTCCAATGCCTACTATTTCTAAACCAATAAAAAATAAATAATAAAATAAAAATAAAAATTAAATTATAGTAAAATGTTTTTTTTTATTAATATAATTAAATATTTTTATAATTTATAATTTTCTACACCTATATTCTCAAAAATATTCTCAAAAACAACTTTATACAATTGTGCAATCAAGCAAAAATCAATTGATTATACATGCAAGATATAACTTGCAAAATTTAATTAAAGATACATTTGCAAACCATGATAATTTATTTACAATTGTTTTTTAATTAATCATAATTGTATATTAATTTAATTGCAATTAATTTTTCAATACTTCTACTAGTGATCATTAAAGAAATTTTTTTTTGAAAATCTGTAAAGATCTTTCAAAATATAAAAATTTGTACAAAATAATAATATTTAAAACTGATCAATTAATTAATTAAAGGTTCCATTTATTTCATCAACAATTAGTTCACTGACAGTCAATTTACTAACAAGTTTATTCTACTAACAATACAATTCACTAACAGTAATTTGACTAACAAAGTAATTCTGAATATTGCCTTTAGAGTTAAGTTAAGGTTAGTGCAATTTATAAAAAAAACTTGTTAGTGAAACGTACTGTCAGTGAATTGTATTGTTGGTAAATTAATTGTCAGTGAATCATAATGTAAAATAAACAGAACTATTAATTAATTAAACCAATAATTATAATAATATAAAAATTACATAATAATAATGATTTATTTAAATTTTTTATTAAATAAAAATTATATAATAAATACTATACCATGCTGTTATAATAAAACACTATTCATAATTCTAATCATTAATTATGGAATATTCATGCCTTATTTTAGTATCAAATTTAATACTCCAAACCAACAATAATCTTCAAAGCAAAAAAAAAGGTAGTACTAAGTTCACATTCAATTATTCCAGTACCAAATCATCATTCTAAAAAAAAAAAGTAATACTTATCTCTATTCTAGTACCAAGTTCACCAATTTCACTAATTCTAATACCAAATCACTTTTTATAAAACCAAGACAGAAAGTTAGTTAGCTTTTTAAAATAAACAAAAGAAAAAAAAAACTTATTTAACTAGTTTCAAAATAAGTTTACATCAAGTTTTGATTCTAATTCTAATACCAATACCTACATAAAAGATAGTTAGCTAGCTTTTCAGAAAAAAAAAGAAAAAAAAATTTATTCAGCTAGTTTTATACAAGTCTCTATTTCAGTACCAAGTTTACCAATTCTGGTACAAGTTGCCTTTTATGAATTTTATGAAATCAAGACCTAAAGAACAAAAAGTTAGTTAGCTTCTTGGGACAAAACAAGAAAATGACAAGAAAAATAAAAAAATAAAAAAAACTTATCTAACTGATTCTAGAATCAAGTTCATACCAAGTTTTCATTCCAGTATCAAGACCTACAAAAAAGATGAGTAGTTAGCTTTTTAGAAGAAAATAAGAAAAAAAAAATACTTATCTAATTGGTTTTATGCAAAGGCTTTATTTTAGTACCAAATTTGCCCATTCTGCCTTTTATAAGACCAAGACCTAAGGAATGAAAGTTAGTTAACTTCCAGGAAGAAAACAAAAAAAAATAAAAATAAAAATAAAATAAAAACTTATTTGACTGGTTTTAGCATTAAGTTTCATTCCAATATCAAGATCTACAGAAAAAATAATTAGCTAGCTTCCTAGAAGAAAACAAGAAAAAAAAAAAAAAGAACTTATTTGATCAGTTTCATGCTGAAGTTTCTATTCTAATATCAAGTTTGCCCATTCCAGTACAATCGCCTATTATAAGACCAAGACCTAAAGAACAAAAGTTAGTTAACTTTCAAGAAGAAAACAAAAATAAAAATAAAATAAAAACTTATCTGACTGGTTCTAGTATCAAGATCATACAAGTTTCATTTCAATACCAAAATCTATAGAAAAAATAATTAGCATCTTCCTGAAAGAAAACAAGAAAGAAAAAAAAAACTTATCTGATCAGTCATGCTGAAGTTCCTATTCTAGTACCAAGTTTACCAATTTCGATACAATTGCTTTTTATAAGACCAAGACTTAAGAAACAAAAGTTAGTTAACTTCTAGAAAGAAAACAAGATAAAATAAAAATAAAAATAAAATAAAAACTTATCTGACTGGTTTTAGCATTAGGATCATACAAGTTCCATTTCAATATCAAGTTCTACAAAAAAAATAATTAGCTAGCTTCTTAGAAGAAAACAAGAAAACAAAAAAGAAAAAAAAAACTTATCTGATCAGTTTTATGCTGAAGTTTCCATTCTAATACCAAGTTTGCCCATTCTGGTAGAATCACATTTTATAAGACCAAAACCTAAAAAACAAAAATTTAGTAAAAAAAAAAAAGAAAAAAAAAACCCAAAACAAAATAACAAAGAGGTTAACCTAATGTTTATACAAAGTGTATCTGCAATGCATTTCTTTCTGATCTAAGTTATTACTAGGATAATTCAAAAACAATATAGTCTTTTTGCAAGATACATCTGCAAAGCATTTCCTGATTACCAGAAAAATTAAAAAATCAAAGAAGTCAATGTGATGATTTTGTAAAATGCATTTGCACATGTTTTTCTTTCTTTTGATCTAAAAACATAACATTTTTGCAAAATGTGCCTACAATGTTTTTTCTTCTTCTGTAGTTTTAAAAAAAACATTATTATTGATAGTTTTAGCCACAATGCACTAAAATTTATAATAAATCCAAGAATTTTAAAAAAAAACTTTACATTTGTGATCAAAATTCTTTGTATATACATGATTAGTCGATTATTTAGAAGATTTAGGATTTTTAGACTGTCAAAATTACTATTTTTAGATTACAATTTTGGTTGATCATGTGTTATATTGTGATTTTCAAATTTGATTTGTTCAAAATTGTTTATATGTAAAAATGAGCTGTTTTAATACAAGGCACCCTATATAACCAAAATAACTTATTCAAAGCAAAAATTCCAATATACAAAATTCTAAGTAAAACAAAATAATATAGAATAAATTATATGAAGTGAATACTAAAAGATAACAAGCATATCAAAGTAATAAAAAAAAGCTTTTAAAATAGAAATAATTAGATTATAGTAGACTTTGATTATAAATTTAGCAGAAGAATAACAAATGAGAAAATTATGAGAAAAAAAAGAGACTGATATAAACTTATTCCAATAGAGACAGAAAGACAAAAAAATAGGTTTGGTTATAATATAAATAGAAAAAGACAAATTAAAAATTTAAAAAACACTGCAGATCAACAAGCAGTATTAAAATAAAATACAAACTTCATCTTATAAAAGAAACAAATTAAACCAACATATACTAAAAAGAAAAAGAAAAGATGAAAGATATAAATTACCTAACTATTTGGGATTTATTAGCAAATATTAGTTACAAAAAAATCAAGTTTCTATATAGAAGCATTGAAAATGCAAGAGTAATTAAAATTAAAAAATCACAATTCAAAACTCTAGCAATAATCAAAACAATAAACAGAAGCTATATGAAAACTCTAGTCATTTTTATTAGATAACAATAATTTGGTATAAGTAATATAAGATAAAGAGGATTATGAGCAAAGAAATAAACATAGCTCATTTTACACAAAACTTTTAAAAGTATCCAAAAAAGCTTTTGAAGTACTTTTGTTAAGAAATTTAAAAAATAAAAAAACAAAATCAGTATTTATGTCA